AAAAAAAAAAGATACTAAAGCCCAAAACACCATCAGAATTGTTCTTTAGGCGTCTTTCTAATACTCTTAGGAGCATTTTAAAAAAAATTAGAGCAAAAAATAACTTGCAGCTCAAAAGTTATGGGCATTTGAAGAGGGGAAGGTTTTGTCGCCAAAATCAGACAAAATCACAACAAACAATCAACCGCAGCACATCAATGAGTGAAGTCGAACATTTCATGCATTTTTTTCTCAAATCTACATACTTTCATTGACATTGTGTCAAATTTTCACTTCAATCCGACGAAAAATGGGCCCGGTGTGAATTTTATTGGAAAAGATGACCCTCTCTTTCTCGGAAGTTCGAAACGTCACTTTCTTGAAAATTCTTAAAACTTCAAAAATTCATATCTCAGTGAGTTTTTCGATTTGAGACCTAATATTTTGCAGAAGTTCATTATTTTGTGGTCTGATCAAGAAAAAAATTCATCATCAAAATCCGAGTCGGGCGGTTGCATGGCTGGTAAGTTCTATATGGAATGACTCAGCAGGCATCAATGCTTTGAATGCACCCTGTGCGCAAGTGTGTAGGGCCGGCATAAAAGAATGGATGGGTATAAAAACCAACTTACCCTGAATACAGCCAAGATGATGCGGGTAACTTTTTCTGTCACAAAGTCACTGAGAATATCTCCTAGGATTGGAATGACGCCTAATCTGTGAAATTTAAAAGCGACCAGAATTATGTTAGAGTGAAGGAAAAAGAATAGAGGTAGCTTCATTTTCTTTTTGTCTGCTCTTACTACGCATGAACTTTTCTCTCAACCAGACTACACACTCAAATCATTTCTTTATTAATCTCTTAATATTGGACTGACAGAGAACATTTTCCTCACTGTATACAGCCTTGGAAAGTTCTAAACTTAGTAACAATGTAATATAGGCAGCAATTTGTTTAATGCATTGAAATTATACTAATTAGTAACATATTAAACATTCATCCATATTCGAGGGAAGGGTTTCTGATTCTTAATGAACCGCTTCCGCCTTTGAACTTGTTCTTTTTCAACTGGTCTTCTAACCTGATATTTGAGTTGGAGGTACCATTAGGGTGCGGCTTATTTCTGTCATGGAGGGAAATCGACGAGGTCCGGGTGGGAATCGGTTCCATCTATGAAAATAATAGGCTGTAGACAATTTGAGCCAATGTGAAGCTTTTTTAGAGGATGCTCAAAGGGATCAAAATTGCAGGCAAAATTAGATTGGTTTGAATGGACGGAAAAACGTCTGATTTGCAAAAATGCGTTTTTTGGATCTAAAATTCGCTGAGATGAAGTAAACCTGACCAGCTCTTGAAAGGCATCCAGGGGCCCCTTCGAAACGAGAAAATCACACTTTTGACCCAAGGGTGAGGGTAGGGGGGATCACTCGAGTGCAAGATAAAAAGTATACACCAATTTCGTTCTGGGCTCGAGAAATAGTATGGGAGGCTAAATTGTAAAGGGCCAAGTATAGTTCTCAAGGGCTAAAACAACCATTGTACATTATTTCTCATCAAATTGTGAGATACATTTGCCTCTCCAACTTTGGAACACTTATTTTAAGTTCGATCTGAAAGTCTCAAAATCGATCACATAGCTATGGGCGCGGCACCTCAAAACCAGCTACGCCATGATCCTGCTGTCCCAACTCTTGTTTCAAAAGTGTGATTTTCTCGTTCCGAATAAGCCCCTGGATGCCTCTCTAAGAGCTGAACAGGTTTTCTTCATTTCAGCGCACTTTAGATCCAAAAATGTATTTTCGCAGATCAGGCGTTTTTTTGCCCATTCAAACCAATGTAATTTTGCCCATAGTTTTAATCCCTTTGAGCATCATCTAAAAAAGCTTCAAATTGGCTCAAATTTTATACAGCCTATTATTTTCATAGATAGAACCGATTGCCACCCAGACCTCGTCGATTTACCTACATGACAGAAATAAGCCGCACCCGAAGGTACCATGAGCATACTAGAATTCAGGAAATTTAAAACATTCATGGCATGATAAGGCTATCTGACTTGATATTTCAACAATTTAAAAACAGAATTCCTCTTCAACAGACAATTAACACTCTTAGACTTATTTGTTTATACTCACCTGTTCATTTTTTGAGCAAATTTAGGGTTGAAAGTCAGTAACCAAAGACAGAATACATATAAGTTGGTACTGAATTTGGAAATTTACTTGTCCAGGGGCAAGGACTTTCAACAATGTTGGAGGCTCTTCAACTTTGATGAAAGCCAAACGATATTTATCGTGACGAAGAACTACTTGCAAGCATCTCCCGACAAAAAGAAGTCCTCTCCTTTAAAAAAGATAACAAATTCAATGAAATCACTAAACGCATCCTGAAGATGTCAGATCAAGATTGAACTGAGGCCCACAGTTAAGTGGATAGTAACTAGGGCATACTTAGACGAGGAAAGTGTGGATAAAGAAGTTTAAGAAAGGTTCTATCTGTTACAGGAAGAGATTGGATTTTTTGATGCAAGTTCAAATTTTAAAAGGTGACTTTTCCAGCAGATTCACTCATTTACTTTCGTTTGAAGAGTTTACTTTGAAAGTAGCACTTTTCCAGATCATCACATTTGAGGCTTTAGGTGAAAAACAGAGGAGTCAGAAAATAGCGGTTAGAGAAAACGAAGGATGAATAGTTTAAGATATGATTACTAGAGTACCTGTATAGCAAGAGTAAAGGACAGCTTGCTTCATGGAAGGCTTAAGGCCCAAAAGGGTAGCCGGCTCTTTGACACACAACATTTCACTGCCAATTTTCAGATTACAATTCAAACCACAATGGCAAAGAATGTTCATAAATGGGCGTTCTTCGGCAAAAATTAGTAAATTTATGCAAAAACTATGTCAAATACGTTTAATGCAAACAACAGGTTGTGACAATTATAAAAATAAATCGTTCTGGATATATTTAATTCATAGGTTGGCTGCCCTTTTGGGCCATGACTTTGTTAGCGCAGGCATCCGTGAAGGCCTGATGGATTTTCGGAGTTTCACAGCTTTCTATACTCTTGCTATACAGGTACTCTAATGATTACTAGCTATATACTGAAGGTTTTGAGATCATGGGTTTAAAAAAAATGACAGATCAAACCCTCATTTAGAGGTTTGTACCATTGCATTTACTGAAAAACAATATTTGACATATTTAAAGTGAGATTTACAAAAGCGCTTCGGACGTCGTTTTTCGAGAGAACTACAGGCTATCAAGGAAAGGGAATTAATAAAAGATTATTTTTTGTTAAAAAAAAAAAAAAGCACATTCATGTTGAAAAAGTTTATAAGCCACCTCAGTACATGTCTAGAAGTAAAGGAAAAAAATAGGAAGGGCCAGCTCCACTGAGTTCATCAATCAGGACATCATGAATCTTCAGCCTCACATTCACTTTCACCATCGCTGCTTGTGAAATGGGTCTCTTCCTTAGCTATAATGGGGTCGTGCATTGAAAAAAACCTTAAAAGACCGCCAATTTTTAGCTATGTGGAGAATTTGTACAGAAATTTTGACAGATAACAGTCATGACCTAGATGCTTATTGTCACAGAATCGTAACCTTGCAACAAAAAAAAAAATCCTGTGACTTGCTAAAATCTTGAAATACTGTCATGAAATTTGGTGCAGTAGTGCCTTATGGTATGCTGTATGGAAATATCAGTTTTCCAGAAGAACAACCTGCGCTCCCCCACACCATTGCATGTGCCACCTAGCTCCTTATTTATTTTATGTTATATCGTAGGAAATTAGCAATCACAGGAAATAAGCAATCATCAACAATCAGCATCGAGTGATGCAATTTTAAAAAGTGATGTCTTTTTTTTCTCTCTCTTTTCTCATCGAAAATTTTGCTAAAAAGTAGAGACCACCCACGGTTTGTTTGAGTAAAAGTTATATGAAATTTTCTATCACTCAAAAAGTCTTTTCGGATTCGAAAAGTAGAGTGAAAATGGAGTCTTTCTAGCTAAAAATGAAAATAGGTTGTTCGAGCTCCTGGAGAAATATACCGTTTTTTGTACTTTTTAGGGCTTATTAGAGGCTGATACGAAAATTGACTCAAAATTACTCAAAGTTTCTGCTTTAATTTCTAAACTAAGATAGCTATCGAAATGATCTTGGATTTATTATAAAGCTGGTGTAATTTGCCGTCGATTGAGAGGTCTGCAAGCTAATTTGGTTAAAAATTGAAGAAGTTATGATAGCTTGAATGAAGGGTATCCAAAATAAGCTTACTTGATTTCCTTACCAAGTAAGGCTCTATTTCTTCTTTTTTTCCCTTCAAGACCAAAAACACTAGAGTCAATCTGTAAAAATTACAGCATTTGTAGTACCCTCAGGTCTGTTACGAGCGTCAGAGTTTTAAATTTGACCCATTGGTTCCGGAGAAAATCAATTTTTGGTTTCTGTTGCGTTCTATATTGATGTCCGGCTCAAGACGCGCCACTGACGAGGAGACCAAGTACAGAAAATCGATTTTATCCACTTTGACAATCGATCAAATTTAACATCTAAAGCTCGTTAGAAAGTTGAAAATATGATAAAGAACATTTTACTCTTTGCGTATTTTCCCTAAGCCCCCTTTTTTTGGAGTTATTGGGCATTTTCGGGGCAATTTTCAATTCGATGCTACAAGCGGACTACAAGTTACATAGAACTGATATGGCGCACAGCCTGTTTACTCCAGATTTTTTTTGCCCCTTATTATCTCCAAAAATACTCAGCTTCTTACGGAGAAACGGGGTTCTTTAGTAATTTGGAGCAAACAGGCGTGCGTCATATCAGTTCTACGTAACTTTACGCGTAGAATCCATATCTGAAGTCAAAACATACCCTTGCTATTTGAAATTTTCGACTTACAGCCCTCCAAAGCCCCAAAATTTTTGGAGGGTCGTGGCTCCCAAAATTTTGGAGCAGCAGGGGTCATATGGCACATCAATAAAAAGGTATTGACATCTCCTCACAGCAGACTTTTAGATTTTGAAATTTGAATAATTTGGCCCCTTGTAGCATCGAATTGAAAATTGCCCCGAAAATGCCCAATAACTCCAAAAAAAGGGGGCTTAGGGAAAATACGCAAAGAGTAAAATGTTCTTTATCATATTTTCAACTTTCTAACGAGCTTTAGATGTTAAATTTGATCGATTGTCAAAGTGGATAAAATCGATTTTCTGTACTTGGTCTCCTCGTCAGTGGCGCGTCTTGAGCCGGACATCAATATAGAACGCAACAGAAACCAAAAATTGATTTTCTCCGGAACCAATGGGTCAAATTTAAAACTCTGACGCTCGTAACAGACCTGAGGGTACTACAAATGCTGTAATTTTTACAGATTGACTCTAGTGTTTTTGGTCTTGAAGGGAAAAAAAGAAGAAATAGAGCCTTACTTGGTAAGGAAATCAAGTAAGCTTATTTTGGATACCCTTCATTCAAGCTATCATAACTTCTTCAATTTTTAACCAAATTAGCTTGCAGACCTCTCAATCGACGGCAAATTACACCAGCTTTATAATAAATCCAAGATCATTTCGATAGCTATCTTAGTTTAGAAATTAAAGCAGAAACTTTGAGTAATTTTGAGTCAATTTTCGTATCAGCCTCTAATAAGCCCTAAAAAGTACAAAAAACGGTATATTTCTCCAGGAGCTCGAACAACCTATTTTCATTTTTAGCTAGAAAGACTCCATTTTCACTCTACTTTTCGAATCCGAAAAGACTTTTTGAGTGATAGAAAATTTCATATAACTTTTACTCAAACGAACCGTGCGCCGGATCATGTGGCGAAGACAAGATGTTTTAGAACTTTTTGCACCCGCGGAAACAGAATTTTGAGGACAACAGATGAATTACTAAATTAATCAGAAGTAAAACATAGCAGAAGATCATTGATCCATTTAACTTACATTTAATTTTACTTGTCCATTCAACCAATTCGGGTAAAAGTGAAATCAGAGCTGTCAAGTCAATTGGCAGATGGGTTCCAACAGGCAATCTTGGCGATTATTCTGGCAGACATATTCACAATGAATCCATCAGATCCATTTAACAGGTTCAAAAACTGACCGCAAACAGGTTCTCGCTTCTTAGCACAATACTCAGCAAATATTTCAACTCTTGACCTGTCCTGGATTTTAAAATACAGAAAACGTTAATTATTAATTATAATAGAGCACACTTCATATCAACTGAGAAAACCAGTTTTCTAATGCAATACTCAGAATTTGAAATTAATTTCTTGAGCCTGCAACAATTTAGGAGAGATCTTTGACAGGTTTTGAGCTAAAATTTAAGAAAAAAAGAACAGAAAAAATATGAGCTGTTTGTCCTACAAAATTATTCCAGTTCTCATTGACTGACAAAATGATTTTACTTGATGAAAAATATTTATAACTCATACCTGCAACAAATCTATGGAGGCCAGTTTGGATAAATTGGTTGCTTTGAAGAGCAACTCATGCTCAGAGATATCCAGTGGCTCTGGCGCCATTTTGATATGTTTTTAAATCTGTAAAAAGGAGGATTCTACATTAGAAAGAGGGCGACAAAATTCTTTGGGCTTCTTTTATTCAAGTACCTGCAATATGATGAACAGGTTTTTAATTGTTATAAAAGCAACCTTCCGAAAATAACACCACTCACTACGAGACTAACCAATTTTTTCCTGACTACTTTTACTTGTATAAACAGTCTATAGCAGATCATATAGCCAGTCGTACAGTGCAAAGAGTGATACAGTAAGATTACCGCTGAAGTTGACACCTTAAACAGGAGTTTAACTCCTCTCAAATAAAGTATACAAAGATACAAAGTATATGGCAAAATTCTTCAGTTCTGGTTGAATTAATTATAGGTCTCTACATACCCACTCTAATCAATTAAAAACGGAGAGTACACTGTGAACTGAAAATAAATATTCTTGAGTGTTGCTCGATTCAATACCAGAGAAGGTTGACGGTGGAGAGTATATAAAATTGGTCAAAAAACTTCATGCCTTCAAGAGATAGGACAAACTTGCGTAAAACTATCAGAAGTAACTTGAGGTAGAGGTGTCGTCAGCTAAGTTGGCACTTGAATGCATATCGTTTGCAAGCAACTATAATGTAGTCGTCCAACAGTCATCGAGGATTCACTAAGCTCACTATCAGGCTGCCGTTAATCCCCTATTAATTGCTGTTTGACAATTGCATCGCAATAGATGCTAGTAGTGGCAAGTCACATAAAAGCAATATATATCAATTTATTCGCAGTAATAGCATTGAAAGAGGTTACGCCAATGTTATTGTTTGGATCCAATTCTATATAATGGAGAATCCCTAAAATGACGATACCACTAATATCGTCTATTGCTTGCAAGTGGAATGTAAACAAGTGCCAACTCAGCTGACTACACCTCTAGAGAGTAGAGTAAACGAAAATTGTGAAAAATTTAGACTTGAAACAATGGAAACATAACACAGGAGTGGAAGAATGGGCCAGTCGTGCTGGTCTTAGAATCGTGTTATGATACTTTTTTTTACAGATCAACTAAAAATGATAAGATCTGGTCAAACAGCCGTATTACGTTGAATATTAGCCTAGGTATCTCGCCTTGAAAAAGTTGGTTTAGGACATCATCTACCATGGTAGGACGTATCATGTTATGCACTACCGCAGTAAATGACGTCATAAATCGAGTTATTCAAGGCGAGATATCCCGGTTAATATTCAAGGTAGAAAGTTGCTGTTGGGCCAGATCTATTTATTTAGAGCTGATCTACCAGAACCAAGCATCAAAACATGATTCTGGCACTGGCACAACTGGCCCATTGAATAAAGAAAGAGAAATGATCAGGTAAAACAGAGGTTAAGCTATCGATTCGCAGGGAAGAGATGGTTTAAGTGAGCTTTCAAAATGATGAAATTGGACTCATTATCACAGCATGAGTACATGCAGCCAAACTAACTCTTTCCTTCAGAGATTAAACAGCATGAGAGTGAAAGAAGGAGAGAGTTAGAGGACGTTTAGGGAATGAGGAAGTTACAATTCTTGAGGAGAAAATTTAGGCGGGAGATACCTGGTAGTGGAGTCCGAACCAGGATAATCATTAGATGTGGGTGTGGAAACAGTATTCACAGTTCTTGCTATTTGCAGGGGATTGGGAAACAAAACCTGCTAAACACTCTTCACTGTGCTCAGAGGTTCCTTCTTAAAAGTTAGCTTCAGTCTCACACACAGGAATCGATTGTTGAAATTCTTATCAGCATGCCCTGGCGTAGGGGATCAAGGTCTTTCAGGCGCAAAGCTCACACATTCCTTATCTTGTTCTGGCGTGCCAACAGAGTTTCAAGAACCGGTCTGCATTCATTGATTGACTAGATAAGATAAGAGGGAATAGAGAGATGCCTCTTGGTCCACAGCAGAATCTCCAAGACAAGTCCAGCGACAGACAAAAAGACATATGTTCCGTCACAGGAGTCTGATGACAATTCTGTTATAACATCGTAAGTTATGGGAACTTCACTACGTTCTCATGGAGGAATCAGTACATAGTGTAAGCTTCCGCGATTTAGTTGAAAGAGAGGCGATTGAAACTTGAAAGCAACACCAGAAAAACGACTCATACACTCATACCTGTAAGGATCCACTCGGAACATCGGTTTCTCCACACTTCCCATGGCTTCTTCTTGATTTTCGTTGGCCCTGTGGTTAAATCTTCGTCTCGAATTGATGAAATTACTTCTAAATGAGCAAAGAGGATGACAGTTTTAACGGCTAATTAATTAAACAAATTGAAATTAATTGAGCGATCTTGGGACCGGCCGTAGTTACGCGCGAAATTCCATGCACAGCAGCAGTCAGCACAGCTGACAGCAGCCATTTTGAATCCCCCACATCAGCTGACGAATATCGAATATCGTATCGAATGCGATTGTTCGACTATCGCACTATCGATTCTTTACCATACCTTCTTACGGGAACACAGCTATAGTCGATCGTTCAAGAAGTTTGTCAAGAAAACCGCCTCAACCATTGGACTCCGTTCTTCTCGAACCAGCTCAGGGTGGAGTAAGGCCGCGGCTAGAATTCTTACGATCAGCGACCTTTCTCCTCATTTTACTTTAAAACTTTCAATCTTAGAGGAAAATGTCATAGGACCCGAAATAACGACCGTCAAATTTCCTATCGGTTCATTACACAAAATTTTCGAAAAAATAATTTTCGTGACCAAAAATAAGGGTTTTAAAAACGGCGCAGGCAAAAATTCTTATGATCAGCGACCTTTTTCCTCATTTTACTTTAAAGCTTTCAATCTTAGAGGAAAATGTCATAGGACCCGAAATAACGACCGTCAAATTTCCTATCGGCTCATTACACAAAATTTTCGAAAAAATAATTTTCGTGACCAAAAATAAGGGTTTTAAAAACGGCGCAGGCAAAAATTCTTATGATCAGCGACCTTTCTCCTCATTTTACTTCTAAACTTTCAATCTTAGAGGAAAATGTCATAGGACCCGAAATAACGGCCATCAAATTTCCTATCGGTTCATTACACAAAATTTTCGAAAAAATAATTTTCGTGACCAAAAATAAGGGTTTTAAAAAGGGCGCAGGCAAAAATTCTTATGATCAGCGACCTTTCTCCTCATTTTACTTTTAAACTTTCAATCTTAGAGGAAAATGTCATAGGACCCGAAATAACGGCCGTCAAATTTCCTATCGGTTCATTACACAAAATTTTCAAAAAAATAATTTTCGTGACCAAAAATAAGGGTTTCAAAAAGGGCGCAGGCAAAAATTCTTATGATCAGCGACCTTTCTCCTCATTTTACTTTTAAACTTTCAATCTTAGAGGAAAATATCATAGAACCCATAATGACGACCGTAAAATTTCCTATCGGTTCATTACACAAAATTTTAGAAAAAATAATTTTCGTGACCAAAAATAAGGATTTTAAAAAGGGCGCAGGCAAAAATTCTTATGATCAGCGACCTTTCTCTTCATTTTACTTTTAAACTTTCAATCTTAGAGGAAAATGTCATGGGACCCATAGTGACGACCGTAAAATATCCTATCGGTTCATTATACGAAAATTTCGAAAAAGTAATTTCACGAAATCAATTCAAGAAATCACCCCTCATCGGCAGTGACACCGTTCTCGCACCGGCTCGGCTCACGATGGAGCGAAGCGTATTATAATTATTGGGGGTGTTCAAACGAATTCTTGCCGGAACTCTTTCGATATCGTCTCTTATTGAAACTGGCGGCAGTATGTACCTGCAGTACCGACAGTGGCAATGATATCGACAACAGCCGGCCTTATCGGATTTTTGAGAGCTCGCACTCAATGCATTGTTGCCCCGTGTGTCGGTTTATCAGATTGCCTGGCGCGGCGGCGCATGAAATAGATGTACAAATGGCAACAGCTTATTTTCGCCAGCTCCGAAAACTCTGATCGCTATCGGCAAGATCGCTCTTATCGTAACTTTTTCTTAACGGAACTGTTTCGGTAGGTAGCTTTACCGACAACCGATTGAACAGCCCTAATTATAATAAGAATGCCCGGCCCGGTTATAGGTATAAGTTACTCAAAAATAAATTTTACTCGTTCTTGTGGGTATTTTGTGTTGAAACTCGGGATTCTTAGAGACTTTTTTGATCGTAGATTTCATTTTTGACCTTACTTTTGTTGACACAACTAAAAAAGAAATTGCTGAAAAAATTGGCTGAGAAGCAAAAGAATGGCTGTACGAAACATTGAAAATTTTCCCTCCGATACTTGAGCAGTTTGAGAGGCAGACCCATGTGTGCATAGAAGTAGCATGCAGAATTATATGCAGACCGTGAATTCAACAAATAACAAATATCTCATTCATTAGTAATGGCCATTGTATTAATAGCTAGTATGTATAATACACAAAAATGGTGAACCAGGGCTCAGAATGAAACTGATCGGTCATATTGCGCCTTTGAATGCTTTGTTTTGTCTACCTACTTACTGTCAATCCCTGGTCATGGCAGCATTCAATAACTTAAAATTTCAAAGGAAATGATCAAAAATTAAAACGAAAGTTATACTCACACTTTACGATTAAAGTTTCAGATCAGCTGCTATTTCTTGCGTCCATTATTAAACATTATAATCAATCGATTCAAGCACATAGGAACAAAAACATATGACTAGACTCGGCGCTCCTTTTACATTATCAAACAAGCAAAGAAGCTTCCATCATTTAAAATTTGAAATTGTGACATTACTCAAGAGCAGGCAAACATGGCGATACTGCCAAATTGTGTCGGCTATGTAACCGACACAGCGTCAGCGACACTTGAAAATGTGAGATAAAAAATGATACAAAAAATGAAACTTGGCAATTCTTGAGATATGAGGTGGAATAATTCACGTTCACTGCAATATTTCATCAAGCAGTCATTTCAAAACGCGTCCTTTAATTTTAAAGTAATTTTAAGTAAAGTTTAAAATTAAAGTATACCTCATATCGTAATTTTTTAGGGGAAAAATAAAACTAACACTGTTAGGAGGGTAAATATAGGGCCGCGGAGCGCCTGCAAGGGGTTGGGCCGCGTAGCGGCCAGGGGGCGTAGCCCCCTAGTAGTTTAATAATATTAAATTAAGGATTTTGTGTAGTGTAAAATTAGTGCTACTGACCTAAAATTCACTGGTTTTCATAAAAATTAAAGTTTTCAGTGTAGAAACAGCCGTCTTATGGTTGATTCGGTAATGGTTTGGTCAAGAAGACACTTCAGCGAACAATTTGATAAAAATACGTTGCCAAATGTGGCGACGCACTTTTTCTAATGCCTTTTCTCGCTTAAGAAAAAAACATTCAGTTCAACATGACGACAATTTTCTTGAACATTAGAGTCTCTTTTCATTAAATCGTCACCTTCCAGGCAAAGTATCACAAGCGCCATGCGACGTTTAAAAATTTCCGCCGCCATTTTATTTCTTTACCTACTGAGAAATTGTTGGTTGAATCTGTTTGGAAATTTCACTAAATTTTATCGGCAGCACAAAGAATAAATTCAGTGAAATTTTCGGACAGCTTTGTTGAACAATTTCTCTGTAAAAAAATAAAATGGCGGCGGAAATTTTTAAACGTCGCATAGCGCTTGTGATACTTTGCCTGACGAAATATTGCCAAAGAATCCATGATCAGCACTGACTTACCTACTAACGCAAATTGCTCTTTTGCTTCAAAATCGGGGTTGGCGACGCGTACCTAACCGACCGGACACTTTCGGCCTTTAAAGTCTTACATTATTATTACAATCATAATACTAATCATAGTGTTTAGGTAGCATGGATAAGTTCAGGGACATCATTCCTATTGATTTATCAACTTGGTTCTCGTTTGGCTTTAAGTCGTTGGTAAACCCACGGCGACACGACTCCTCCTTTTATCGAGAAATCACCCTTAGGTGATAGCGTAATTTCGCAACACGCACCTGCAGGAAGAAATGGGAGAATGCAGAACTGAAGAGATGCGGCTCGCCCCGCGCGCCGCCCGCAGGAGCAGGGGGGGGAGGGGGGAAGCGGAGTACGAATCGGCATGGAGGAAATTCGCCGGTTTGCAGGCACCTGTAGAAACAGCTCTGTCTGGACGGATGAGCGGCTCTCCTCTCCCGTTCTCTCCCCGCTCCCTTTTCTCTCGGCTACGTTTACACCGCGAGCGCGGTCCAAACCCCCGCTCAGCTCCCTCAGCTCTGCCCCTCGCGCCGCGCCGGTGCATCACCACTCCTCTCTCTCTACCCCTTGCCCCTTCATCATTGCTTCGCCCCGCCCGTTCCCCTCTCGCCTCTCGCTTTGGTAGCCGGTGCCGGTGCGGTCCCGCTCCCGCGTCAAAGGATTTTCTTTCTCTCTCAGCCTCAGCGCCGAATGAAGCTGTCGGAAGCCAAGCGTCCGTTAATTATTTGCTGTCTACTCTTCTGTAGGATTGTTTCCCACATCCTTAGCCATAGGTAAATTTATTAATGGTTTCAAAATATTTGAGGGTTTTCGGCGAACGTACACAGCGAACCTAAGTATGGACGCCTCGCCACTGATACAATCAGTTGGATTTTCATTTTAAAACTTGATACACATACAGTATTTTCATCGTCGAGAAGTCAATTTTCTTACTTTTGCTCGTTTGACCGAAATGTATCATTCGTGGAGTTCATGAGTTGATAGACGCGTAGTATTAACTAATACTACGAGTTCTATCAATACTTTAGAATGAAGTGTTCGTTATATTTGTCCGCCCTTTTGCATTGGTTTAAGAGTTATCTTACCCACGAGTTTCCAAAACACTACTTCCTGGGATTGTGCTCCTCTCAGCCGACTCTCATGTTGGGTCTAGTAGAATAGGGCTGAAAAAGAGTTGTCCTTGAATAATGAAAGGCATCTACGGGTGGAAAAGGGTAAGTAGAGATGGTATCAAAAGGACTCAGAAGGTGGTGGGAGGGGCGATCAAAAAGTGCAGTTTTAAGGGAGTGAGATGGGCTGAAAAATCGCGTATTGATGTGAATCAATTAACATAAGTAAG